CCCCCATCCCGGCCGCTCCTCACCCGCCGCCGCACGTTCCGCACCGACTCCGCCTCCCGCCGCCAACCCGGAAACGAGCGCAACCCGCCCGGGCCACCAGGCGCCGCGGCCAAACAAAATGGCAGCCCCGACGCCCTCTGCGCATGAGCGCCGCTGCGCCCCGCCTCCCTCCGTCGCCGCCGCCGCCGTGACGGACCGGGGCGCCCAACGGGCTAGCGCAGGAGAGCTTCCGGTCGCCATATTGGGAAGGGCAGGGAGACGCGCTGGCGGCCATATTGGAGGCGTCAGGAGACATGTCGGCCATCTTGAGGAGATCACGTGGGGAGCTCGAAGCGCGGCCGGCATGTTGGGAAGGTCGGATCGCAAGACATTGACCTTCCCAACATGGGAGCCTGAAGCGTGGTAGCCATATTGGGAAGGTCAGGCCTCAAGGCTTCGGACATGGTGGCTATGGTGAGCAAGTTAAACTGCCGGAGCCAGCCCTGCTGAAAGTGGCAGGTAGGTCTGCGTGGGGAAATATCGAAAGATTGTGATAAGGACAGCCGAGTGTAAGAGGCAAACAAAGGAGCCGACGCCATGTTGGGGAGGTCACGGGGAAGACGGTGTAGCCATGTTGGGATGGTCATAGAAAGGGGCCGGTGTTTGCATCGTACTAGGAAGTGCCATGTTAGGAAGGTCAAACACAAAGGAGAGTGGTGGCAGCCATGTGGGGAAGGTCACGTGGCCTCGGGCAGTCTGTGTAGCCAGGCTGAACTGATCGCTCCTATTGGCTCCGCGGGACAGCCAAATAGCGATCACGTGGAAGTGCCATTAGCTTCAGCCGCACTGCGGTGGTGTTATACAAACCATAGTCTGAGGCAGGGGAGCGGGGGTCCATGCTGGGAAGGTCACTTTGACTCCTTTCAGCCGCCTTACTGAGGGGCGCACAAACATGGCAACTTCCGGCTATTTTCAGAGGGTCACGCGGAAAGACGGCTGCTACGGCCATATTGGGGCGGTCATGTGGCCGGGGGGGGTGGCGGCAGCTATGTTGGGAAGGTCACGGAGGACGCTCGTATTTTTTTGCCATGCTGGGAAGGTCTCTTCAAAGTACTATCCCGCCTGGCCTTGACGGGAAGGTCACCTCATCCCCTGCCTACAATGGAGGGTTTCCCTAGGGTTCCGGCCTGGCAGCGGCCTCGGCTGGTGGGCTTCTTGGCTGGCAGCAGGAGCCCCAGCAGAGCAGGCCTCTGGGCTGGGCTGGGCTCCACCGCTACCGCCACTGTGGCATCCTGGTGGGGCCTTAAGCTCCTTCCCATGGTGCGCGGGCCCCAGTGCACTGTGGCTGGCATGGCCAGGCATGCATGCAAGATCTACAAGAGAAGTCCAGAGGTGCCCAGCTGGAGCTCATAGTGCTATGTGTGTGGCGCTGCTGCCCGCAGCTTCCTGAGCTCCCCCTATGCTGGGGCCATTGCTCCAGCGCTTCTCAGTCAGCAAGAAAGCAGGGAGTTGGCGAAGAGCGCCTTACAGGGGAGGGCTCCTTTCACTTGATCCCAACGGCCCGGTTGGCCCAACAGGAAAGATCTCCTTTCCTTGCCTCTTGCATTGTTTCTGGACTGTCACAGCTACAACATCACGCTCGTGCTGCCATAATGTGAAAGCAGCGAGCTGGCAGTTGCTGAGGTTGAATTAAATCCAGGAAGGCTGAGTACTGCTGGTCTAGGTGCATGCATGTGCAGGTATCCTACCTTTTGGGGCAGAGGGCAGTTGCCAGGTTGCCACCACTGGGAGTGCGCAAAGAGCACAGCAGGGCTAAGGCCACTTGGACAACCTCCCCCTCTTGTGAAATGCACCGAGGGCAGCAGGGTAAAAACGGACTTGCACTTTAAAAGCAGGCCTTAAAAGATCTTTTCTTCCCTGTCCCCATCTGCCCCCCGGAAATGCTGAGCCCAGTTCATCCCCCACTGGGTAGGCTGAGCAGACTGCAATGGTCAGGGGTGATGATGAGGAATTCCTTCTAGGCCCATCACCCTTGCCAGGTTCTGCTGGAGCCTATGCTGTCATGTAGCATTTAGCACACCAGAGTCCTGAACCAGCATAGGCGCTCTATGATACTACTGTAATGCCAAGAGCAAGCAGTTCCCTAAGCATCCTCCCCCAACCCCTCCTCCCCCACTCCCTCTGCACCATTCTTCTGATGACAGAAGGAACAGATGAACTGCCCCAGGCTGAGACTGGAGCCTGCAGCTCCCACTGGGCTTTGCATGACAATCGCGCTCCTGCGCCACAGCCTGGCACTTGTCCTCACCCCAGAAGTACCTAGGCTAAGAGCTCCTTGCTTGGCCTTTCTGATACCCCACAGTCAGGCCAGGCTGGCAAGTCCTTGTGATTCACTTGCTAGACACAACTGAGTGGACAGCGCTTGCTTTTATTTCCAGTTCCTCTTGGAACCCTTCTTCCGCCTTAAGTGCTTCTTAGCAAGATAATAACAATGAAGGGCAATGACACAGACCCCAGGATGAACTGGGCCCAGAGGGCAGGGGATAGCTTACATTCCACACTACGGGGACATGCCCCCGCTCAGTAGAAAAGTCACTGTACAAAGCTCCATATGGTACAAGGTTCTGTCTTTTTTTTCTTTAAAAAATAAATTTACAATTAAAGAGAGCATTTTGGTACAAAATATATACATTCTCATGTAAGGTCTGTGAGACCCCATGGGGGTGGGAGGGGAGGAACAGGGGGAGGGAAAGAGAGAGAGACCCTTAGCAGTGAAGGAAACAAGACCCTGAATATAGATAGATAGAGAGATAGATAGATAGATAGAGACAGAGAGAGAAAGCAGGGGACAATCTCTGAGCAGACAGAGAGAGAGAGAGCAGCTGTGAAGGCAGACAAAGATGCTCAGCAGAGATGCAGGGTGGTTGTAGAGGCAGAAAAAATATAGGAACAAGATGGAAATGCAGGAAATCCTCCTTGAGATCCTCCAGCCCTGTGGTGACCTCCCAGCCAGGCAACCCCTGGTGCTGCCTCCCCTGAGGGGGAGGGAGGCAGAGGTTTCCCCCTGGACCAATCTCTGCAGCCCCCCAGAGGTTTGTAGCTGTGAACACAGCCTCTGCCCTCTCTTTGGAGCCACACCAAGAGAAGGGGAGGGGGGAGAGACGACTGGCTTCACTGAGTGGATGGAGCCAGTTGCTGCTGTGGCAGTGGTGGGGACAGGGGCCTGGGGATAAGAGGAACAGGGAGGGGGCATCAGGGAAGAAGCCAGGTCTCAAGGCAATGGGCTCAGACACCTGGGGCCTGAGAGCAGGAATTGGCTTTAGTTCCTTTAAAAGACATCCCAAGTGCCAGCCCTCTGAGACACATGGCATTGGGTACAGGGCCCTGGGAGAGACTGCTCCTGGGTGGTCAGTGCAGGGAGACCAGCCTGCTCTGTCTGCCCCCATCCTGGGGTCACAGAGCAGTGGGAGGTAAATCAAGACGATCAGCTCCCTCCCTCCAGGTCTCTGCCTACCAGAGGTGGAAAAGCAGTGGTTGAGCCTTGGCTGGTCTGATCCTTGGCTTCAGCCTCCATCAAGAGGCTCCACACTGCACCCCCACTCCATGGCCCTCATCCTGGGCTCTGTGACACCACTCCATGGCCTCTGGGAAGAAGCTCCCCCCACCCCACTGCTCCTGCTGGCTGTAGTGTAGCCAGCCCTACTAGGGACCCCCAACCCTGACACTGGCTTAAGAATCAGACTCTATTCAAATCCACCTCTGCTGGGACCTTTGGGGATGGGGGACACAGCCCCCAGCTTCCTTTCCAGACCAGGAGAGAATCTTCCCCCTGCCTCTTTCTTGTTTCAGTGAAAGCTGAGGCTCCTGTAATCACGTGACTCCAGGGGCTCAGGCTTTTCAGACAAAACACCAGTCAGCCCTGCTGTGCAGCTCAAGGGCTACAGCAGTGTCCAGAGCCATGGGCTCTCCAAATGGCTGAGATCTTTGTGCTGAGGAAACCCATCTGCCCTGGGCAGGAAGCTCAGATCAGAAGAGTCCATGGGGCTGAGCTGCTGAGACAGAAATTGGCTGGCACAGAGTAGAAGGTCATGGTTCTGTGGGGCAGGGGCAAGGAGCAGGAAGGGGGAGAACACACTGGAAAGGAAGCCCAAGGTGTGGGGCAGGATGAGCCCCACCCCCAGCAGCTGCATCAGGACAAGAAGGCTGGAGGGAGCTGGGCTTGTCTCTCAAGCAGTGGGGGCTCCTGCTCCCAGCTCTGTGGGTCTCATGTTCCCTTCCCCTGTGGTGACTCAACAGGACACATGAAGGGGTCTCCACAGCAGAAGCAAGAATGCACAGCTGTGCAGCCCAAGGGTGGGGAGGTCTGTACCTGCAGCCAGAGCCACATGGGGAGCACGCCCTGCTTCCTCCCAGCGGCCCACAGATGCCACCCATCTCAGGAGGGTCCCCCTTCTCCTTGCAAACACCTGGCATTTTCTCAGAGCTCCTGAGACGAGAGTGGTTGGGGATCCCATGACCTTTAAGAGGCTGGGTGACAGCACTAGGTCCCAGGGGAGGGGTGAGGGAGGGAAACAGAGCCAGGAAGAGGGGCACCATGCACAACTGTGGGAAAGAGAAGAGATAAATAAAGGGCGGGAGAACAGGGGCTGGGGGAGAAGGGGTACAGTGCCCCCCTATCACCCCCTGGGGCAGGGGAGGAGGCTAGAATACAAGCACCCCCAACTACGTGCTGTCCCCAGCTCCCGCCCACCCATTGGCACCACTCACAGGGGGCAGCCTCTCGTGCCCACGCCAGCGTGACACGGTACTGCACCCCTGCAGAGACCAGGCACCACCCCCACCCCACCCCCAACAGGGGAGGGGCATGCACCTACAGTTCAACAGATCCCGTAAACCCAGGTGGGCCGCGCCAGGCCAAGGATGCTGCAGCACCATGCCTGCTCCAGCCCCTGGCACCAAGGGGCACATGGCCAAAGTGCTTCAGTGTGGCAGGGCAGGGCTGTGCCAGCACCCCCCACTGGGGCAGCAGGACCCCATGGCTCTCACTGGCTGCTCGGCTCCAGCTTGTAGGAGAGCTCAAAGAGCAAATTCTGATTGTCGATCACCTGGAATTGGCGCACGTAGGCCTTGGTCTGCAGCTGGCTGGGCGACGACTCCATCTCCAGGCCTGAGGGGGAAAAAGGTTCAGGACCCAGAGGAACAGACCCCAAGGGTTTAGGAACCCAGAGCCACCAGCAGCCCCCTGCAGCTGGGAACAGAAGTTGCTGGCTGACTCTGCCCCAGAAATCAGCCCTGCCAGCTGGGGAGGTCTCCCACAGAATGGGGATAGTCAAACTGGTCTGGGTGATACCATCTGCAAAGAGTCACCACCCAAGGGCCAGTGTCTCTTTGCTACTCAATTTTGTAAGCTTCTGGTTGGTCTTTTGCCTCTAACCCTGTTGCCCCAGAGCTGTCCTGTTAGCTGCAGCCTGTCTGACAGCTTGGACAGCACACGGCAGGTTTAATCAGTGTAATACCATCAGTTTTGAACATCAATGGGGGTTACCCCAGTGCCGGGGCAGACAGATGGTCAACCAGCCCTGGGACATCACCAGGTAGACACTATTACAACATCTCACTGCTGGGAGGCAGCAAGCTAGTCTGTTTGCCTTGCAAACACTGCTCCTCCAGGATAACCTGTGGACGCATAACACCTACACAGGTGGACCTTATCCAGGTATAGGTTTACCCCTAATTTTTCCTGGAGTAACTGTGCACCATATGTGACTGAGTTACCCTGGGGAAGGGCTGTATCTCATATGCCTGCTTCTGTTTTACACCAGTGCCAAGTCCAGTTAAATGGGTGCGAATGTCCCATGAGTTAGTCTCTAGGCAGGGGATGCTCATACTCACAGAGGGGCCGGCTCCGGTATTTCCTGATTGTCCTCACTTTCTCAGCTATTGAGTGCTGTGGGGGTGGGAAACAAATAAGTAATTACTGCGGTGGGCTCCGATACAAGACTTACCTGGGCTATCCTGCCAGAGCCAAGCAGGATCCAATGCTGACCAGATGTGCAGGCCCCTGACAGGTGACTGCAGAATCCAGAGCTCCCACCCCAGTCACTGTAAGCACAGAGCCTTGCAGTTCCTGCCATTGTCCACGGGCCATCAGGCCCCATGAGGGCAGAAAACACCCCCTTTCAGCCATGACCAGCTGGGAAAACCCCTTTGTCCTGGCCACAACAGAGTCTCTGGGGGAAGGGCTGCCACATACACTGGGCCTGTGCCCTGCCTGGCACAGCAGACCAGGCTGGCATGACTGCAGCCCAGATGTTCAACAACATCTGCTCAGCATCTTCCCTAACCAACATGCAGCCATCCGCCAGCAGAGGGCGCCACACGCCCTACTAGGGACACACGCACCTGCATGGTGGAGGGAAGGTATTTGAACAAGCCCCTCTGGACCAGAAGGGCTGGTTTGTTATGGCAGACCCCACAATTCCTTTCATGGCCTGGTGTGGAATGGCATCATAGTGCCACTTAGAGGAAATCCCTGCATCCTTTAGAGAAAGACACCCAGCCCCTGGAGCTGAGTTAGCAGGATTTGGGTACCACACTGGGGTGAATGCAGGTGGAAGGGGGTCAGTGGTCTAATATCCCACTCGGACACCTCTGTAAGCCGAGAAGTAAAGGCAGACCCTAAGGCCCTTCCAAGCTCCCCCCTCCTCCCCAACACATACACCAGGGACTGTGGAGCAGGCTGGGGGCAACCATGACTTTGGGGTGGGGGCAAGAACATCTCAGTTGCTGGAAACTCTGTTGAATCTGCCATGCCAGCCAGAGAGCAGAGGCAAGCAGGGGAACCAGGTGGGAGGCAGGGCCCCACTCACTCCAGGCCAGGCCCATGGCAGGCAGGGATGGTTTTTGCCCTCAACTCCGTGCACAAAGCTGAGAGCCTGGGAGAGAGGGAGAAGAAACCCTTGGGTGACAAGGGGTATGCCAGCTGGAAGGTCCATGCCAAGGAGTGGTCCCATGGTGCTGGGGCCTGCTCCCCATGGTGTAGGGAGCCCCGAGCACTGGCCAGGCAAGACCAAGATCCCCAGCGCATGCTTTGCACTGGAGGACACAATGGTGCAAGGGACAGGAGCAGCTCTCAGAGCTTTACTTCACCAGCCTAGGCAGGTATGACAGCAACGGACTTCTGCTGGGATGCCAGGCTCCGGCATCAGCTCCTGCCCCCACAATGACTGACTGAGCCCTGTCCCAGACACACGGTGCCATCTGGCACCAGGTGGGGGAGGCATTTTCCCACGTGTTGCATTCAGCTGGCCTAGACCCCACCCCTGCCTGCACTGGAAGTGGGGGCCGAGCCTCCCCGCCACACACACAGGAGAAGGAGGGAATTCAGCTTTTGGGAGCACTGGCCTCAATCTGGAGCCACTTGTTTTATGCCAGCAAGGAGCTTGGTCCAAGATGTAGGACGTGAGGATGGCCACCCCGCGGGGAGAGAAAGTGGGACAGAGTGATCGGGGGCAGAAGGTCCCGGGGGCCCACGCTGGGCTGCCTGCCACTCCTCCCCACCAGGCAGGCTCTAGCATGAGTGCTGAGCTCCTGGTGTGGCTGCCTGCTGCACAGTGTGCCATCTACCTGCCACAGCCTCCTGCTGCCAGTTGCTATGGAGAGTGAGTGGCGTTACCACAGAGTCGCTCACTCCCCAAAGCTGCATGAAAACCCCTCACTTGGCTCCTTGCACCTGTACCATGGCCCCACTAAGCCATAGGGGCCCAGAGAGCACTCCCAGGGTGATGCAGGGAAGAGGCTGTGACCCTTGGGTCAGCTCTCAACAAAGGCAGAGCTCAGCACCCCATGCATCTGGGGTCACAGCAGCTCCCCCAGTCAGGCCCCAAACCCTCAAGCCCAGCCTTGCAGCAGCCAGAGCTGAGGGCAGCTGCATACAGAGCCAGGCTATAGTCCAACACTGGGACTCCAGGTCAGAGCACAGCCAGAAATGGCTGGGGTGAGGGTAACCCAGACCGTATCCTATAGCCAGGTCCTGACCTTCAGGCTGCCCCATGACCCCAGGCCCAGTCACTGGCCAACTCAGCTACTGACCTGCCATGTGACCTTGGGCAATGCCCCTCTGCTCTCTGTGCCTCAGCTTCCATTTGTGCAGTCTACCAGCTGTCTGGGATAGGGGCTGTCTCTCACCCCAGGATCATGCAACACCCAAGATGTCAGCTGGTGGTCTCTGGATGCTACCATAACAAACATAATAGAGGGGAAGATCCTTGCCCAGGAAGAGCCAAGAATAGAACTCGGGTGTCCTGGCACCCATGCTCCCACTCTGAACAGGAGATTGCAGGGTTGCTGGAGGGGGAGGGTAAATCCTAGGCTACTGGATAAATCCCTTATGGAGAAGAGACCAGCTGAAGACAGTCATGCTAGGAGTCTGGTTCATTTGAGGGTCATGGCTGGACCTCAGGGCAGGTAGTGCCAGGGCTTGGAAGGACTCACCAGTTTTTCAATATTGACTAGTCCATCCAAGAGGGTCTTGCTGCCTTCATGCAAAAATGTCAGGTCTGGGAAGCAAAGGAACAGGGGGAGGTGAGCAGGAGGGAAATACGCCCCTCATCCCAGGCTGCCCCAGGCCAGTGGCTGACACTCGCACCCCACCCACTGCACTGGGGTACAGGGCAACACCCAGCAGCCATACTGCAAACAGGGCAGGATCCAGACCCAGGCAGGTGCTCACGTATTGCAGGATGCACGGACATCCACTGCAGCACTTGAACTCAGCCTTAGGGGTGACAGGAGTATTTGTGCATCCTCAGCGCTGGAATGCAACTGCTTCTGGGGGGCAGCGTGGTAGCTGACTAAGAGTATGGTGCAGACTGGAAATATCCCATCGTTCAGTTGCACACCTGGGGAGAAGTCTCAACGTGGCCCCTGCTTTAACCAGTGGGCTGTACTCCCCTGGGGGACCAAGATTTAGTCACCAGGGCCCTCAGCTGTGGGGACCACCCCCACCTGGGAGAAGGAGCTCATCAGGGGAGGGGCAGAAGTTGCTGTGCAGGGCTTACCTTTCAGGATGAGTGGGACGAAGGGGATGATGGGCGGCTTCATCTTGGTGAGGACCTCCCGATATGTTTTGTGGTTCCGGCAGGGGTCCTGCATGGAAGGGGGAGCACAGGTCAGGGAGGGTCCAGACCAGGTAAGCACCTCATGAGATCATCCATGGGGCTGGGCTCTGCACTGCAGAGGGAGCAAGGTCTGGGCCACTGAGTCAGTTACCCCAATGCAAGCCCCTTGTGCAATGCACCACCCTGGTGTGAAGCATTACTCATGTTGGCCTGGCTCTCTGTGGGGCTGGCTGAGTGTGAGGAACATGCTGCACTGGGCCAGTTGCTCAGGCGCACAGCACCAAGCTGATCTAACTCTCTACGTGATGGGAACTCTGGGATGCACCCACGTGGAGCAGCTGGGCAGATAGATGACCTGGAGCCTACACATGGCAACCTCAGGGCTTGGGGATAGATCCCATTTGGGGACTGGGAATCTAAAGCCTATGGTAAGGGAGCAGGTGGGAGAAACATGTAAGAATTGAATGCAAAGTTCAGGGTGATGTGGTAACCTCTGGCACTCCCACCCCTGCAGAGAGACAAGCCAAGCTGGGGTGGACATGAGTGGGGAGCAGTGCTAGGCCAAGGTTGACAGCAGCTCAGCCAGACCTGAGAGCAGCACCTGCGGGGGCAGCTGCAGCAGGGCTTATGTGGCACAAACTCCTGCCAGAGAGCTGGCAAGCTGGTCACTGGGTCTGTACTTACCGCCCCCTTCCTACCCGCTACCAAGGGGAGGCGGGGTTCAGGGCTACAGGTTGCATCAACCAGCAGGAGGGAGGGAAGGGAGGGGTGGGAGAGCTGACCTGCCAGCCTCTGCCCCCACCACGGCCTTGGGGGCTGATGATTAACCCGAGCAGTGATACTTACTGGGAAATGCCCAGGTGGTGACAGACCCCGGAGCAAGACAGGGGGTGCCAGGCCACCTGTCCAGAGTAGACTATGCCAGATTCCAGCAGAGCAGCCAAGAAGAGACATCTCTCCCCCATCCCGCCCTGCATGCATGCCATGGGTCTGGAGGGACCTTGCTGGTGAGATGGACCCCACAGAGTTCCCCTGCCAGTATGTGTGGCACAAGGTGGCCAGCAGCAGCCCAAGGCGGAGCCAGCTGTGCACCCTCACCAACCCCAACTCACCACCCTGAACCCAGGGCTGGGTCCTACCGTAAGATTCTCAAACTTCCGGAACAAGTTCTTGAATTTGCCAGGGAGCTTCTGGAAAGACAAAGGGGCCATGAGTCCCTCGCCAGCCATGCCACTAATGCATCACCTTCAGCTGGGGATCCCGCATGCAATCCACATGCGACTCAGGGCCCTGTGCCCCATACTCGTGCCAGCTCATGGGGGTGCCTTTTATGCTTCTGCTTGGTTTATAATGGTTGGCTCTATTTTATTATTATATTTGTATTTTTGTTATTTTTGCCTATATTTATTTATATTATGGTTGTATGTTTTCATGTTGTTTCCAGGAGCATTGCTTTCAGTCAGAATCCTTAATAAACTGAACTGAATCTGTTTCTGCCTGGGAGAACTCCGTGTCTCAGAAGGCCCTTGCTCAAATCCATGAGAGCAGCCAGGGGTCTCAGACCTGGCAGCACAGGCCACAGCAGGGCCTCTGGTGCCCAGGAAGGGGGCAGGGGTGGCAGGTGCTGGGGCTCAGGAGTGTTCCACTCATCCCCTTGCACAGCTGCCTGGCATTGCTCATGCATGGATCTCTCCTGTGCTGGGGGTGCCTGAGGGGCTCTGGCCTCTCTCTGGTGGGAGGGGCCCCTTTGCTGATTTCCTCTGGTTGTCGTTATTTAGGCACAGGAAGAGGAAGACAAAGAGCAATGAAGGGGGATAAGGTGGGGGCTGCAGGCTTTGTAGATGTGCAAGGAACCATCTCCTCCAGCACTGGAGCTGAGTGCGATGGCAAAGGCATCACACATGCAAGTGAATCTGTAGGGGTGAATTCTAGGAGGCAGAAGAGGGTGATCTTAGGCCAGGCCCTGGGGTTCAAGCCAGATCTTTGGGCAAGGACAGCTGGCAAAGGCTTGAGGGAATTGGCTGGGCCCTCGGTTTTAACCACATGTGGAATACAGCAGCACAGTGCCCCCTCAATTGACAGGCAGGTGCCCAGGGGCTAGAGACTCTGAGGGGACAGCACCCCTTACAGCACTAGGACAAGCAATGACAGTGAGAGGACAGTACTCCCTACTACAGTGATTCTCAACCAGCATGCCAGGGCACCCTAGGGTGCCATACAAGCTTCTGAAGGGTGTTGTGAGCTGTGAGGAGATCAGTGCAGGCTCATGCTCATCCCTGCCTAGCCCCACTGCAAAGAGGCAAGCACTGTAATCAATCAGTTAGATATTGATACTGGGTGCTGCTTAATTCACTACAGTTATGGAGGAGGCCTTGAGTCAAAGGAAGGGTGCCTCAAATCTTAAAAGGTTGAGAACCACTGCCCTACTGTATGTGTGTACATCTTGGAAACCCTGACACTCCCCCACCCTTGTCCTAAGAACAGCCCAGCCCAGTCCCTTCCCTTACCTCCCAGGTGAGGCGCAGCCTGCTGACAGCTGTGTTGTTCAGCCCAATCACCACAGCATAGAATGACAGCATGTCCTGGTTCTGCTTGCATCTGCGGACACAGAGCAAGGGGCTCAGCATGTGGTCATGAAAGGGTTAGACAGAGCCCCAGGGTGCTTGTGGCCGGCTGGCTGGCAGCCTTCAAGCCATGGTCTGCACTGAACCAGGTCCAGGGCACCAGTTCTATCAGGCTCTGGGAAAGTGGGGTAACTCCTCCTTGTCCCAAAGCACTTGGCCTGACATCAAACAAGGGCCCCCCGGTCCCTCCTCCCGCAGCATCAGTTCAGCCCAGCACACAAGCTCATGCCTGACCTGGTGTGCAGAGACAGCTCCCTTGCTGTTGTCAGAACCACTGAAGGTGTCATGATCGCAAGCTGTCAGCATGTATTAGAGACAGCACAATGGGCACCTGGCATCATGCAGCCAAGGCTCCACCAAGGTGGGGGTTAGGCTTGGCAGGGAGGTGCTGGAGGGGGGTGTTGTTCCCACTATAGGGACCCAGGAAGCAGAGGAGGTCAGCAATCGTGGGCAGTCCCAGAACCAGGCCCCCTGCACATCTCAGGGGCTTGGAGCACTGCAGTACAGACCAGAGGAGCTCAGGGCTTAGGGAAGGGGGTGTGGGGTTGGGCGCTGGGAGCCCTGCCCCTGGGGCCTGCTTTCTTAGGAAAGGGGCAAGTTTCTAGTGGCTGGGCATACCCAGCAGCCCACGCCCAGTCACCAAGCCCAAGGGTTTGGGCTCTGGGTCCCATTCCCTGAGGCCCCATCAGCCAGGCCCTGGGGGAAGCTAATGTTGTACTTGGTATCAAAGCAACTGCACCAGGCTCATGGAATGAGCCACAAAGTCACCACTTCTCAACCTCGATGTAGCTTGTGGGTGGCCACAAACAGGACATGAGTCAGGGGCTGACAGCAGCCCCAGAGGTGGGAAGAGCCTCCAGCTTCACCTGCCCACCCCAGGGCCAGAGAAGCCATGGCCAGATGGCCCACCAAATTCGTGGATGACACCGAGCTGTGGGGAGTAGCAGATATGCTGGAGGGTAGGGCTAGGATTCAGAGTGACCTTGACAAATTGGAGGACTGGGCCAAAAGAAATCTCATGAGGTTCAACAAGGACAAGTGCAAAGTCCTGCACTTACGATGGAATAATCCCATGCACCGGTACAGGCTTGGGACCAACTGGCTAAGCAGCAGCTCTGCAGAAAAGGACCTGGGGGTTACAGTGGACAATAAGATGGACATGAGTCAACAGAAGGCCAACAGCAAGAAGGCTATTGGCATACTGGGCTGCATTAGTAGGAGAGTTGTCAGCAGATCGAGGGAAGGAATTATTCCCCTCTATTCAGCACTGGTTTGGCCATATCTGGAGTAGTGTCCAGTTTTGGACTCCCCACTATAGAAAGGATGTAGACAAGTTGGAGAAAGTCCAGGGGAGGACAAAGAAAATGGTTGGGGGGGGTGGGGCACATGACTTATAAGGGATTTGATAGTAGCCTTTAACTACCTGAAGGGTGGTTCCAAAGAGGATGGAGCTAGACTGTTCTCAGTGATGGCAAATGATAGAACAAGGAGAAATGGACTCAAGTTGCAGTAAGGGAGGTTTAAGTTGGATATCAGGAAAAAAACTCTCTTACTAGGAGGGTGGTAAAGCATTGGAAGTACCTGAAGAGGTTGTGGAGTCTCCATTCTTGGAGGTTTTTAAGGCCTGGCTCAACAAAGCCTTGGCTAGAATGATTCAGTTGGGAATAGTCCCGCTTTGAGTAGGGGGCTGGACTAGATCAGCAGTTCTCAACCTTTTGCACCTTATGTCCCACCTACATAAAGCCAAAAAATCCTGGCCCCACTGTTCAATGAGCAGGGGGGAGGGGGGAGGCAATCAAAGCGTGCAAAAGTGAAACTGGAAGTCCCGAGTCCCACCTAGAGGACTTACGTCCCACCAGTGGGAGGTGTCCCACCAGTTGAGAAACCCTGGACTAGATGACTCCCTGAGGTCCCTTCCAACCTTCATTTTCTATGATTCTATGACAGGGAGTGCCCAGGAAGAGGATTGATGACACCTTTGGGAATAGGACCAGCTTGGGAGCAGGTACTCTCTCCTGGGAGGGGTACAAGGCTTGTACAGGTGAACAAGAGAGGGAGGGGGATAGGTGTGGGTGGATATCTATATTGCAAGAACAGGCATGGGTGTGTGGATAGAAGGAGGCAGGGAAGGAGGGCAGGTACATATGGGAGTCAGCACATGGATCAGAGCACTCTGTTGCCAGCTCCTGGGGAACAGGGCCCATCCTGCTAGTGTCTTTCTAACCAGCTAACATGGGGGAAATCACCAGTGTCCCCAGCCACCAGCACCTCCTATACCTGCCTCTGGGTTCCAGAGACGCAGCCCCATGCATACCCCACTGCTGCCCCCCATGCAGGGCCCTCTGGGAGCTGGCAGGGGGGAAAATGCCAGGTGGGGTGGTGCTCACATGGCTGCGATCTTGACAAACTTCTTGAGCAGGTGGGCGCGCTTTCCCAGGGCTTCACAGAGCAGGATCTCAGTGGCTACCCAGTGCTGTACCTCGCTGCAGCGCTGCAGCATCAGCTCCAGATTGGCTGTCTCCCGCCGTCCCCGTTCCCCATGGAAGACATAGTCCACAAACTCCAGCTGTGCACAAAGGGGACAGAGACATGGTCAGCACCCGCTGCACTAGGGCACCTGCCCCTACTTCCACAGTCCTCTCCTCATTGCCAAAGCCCAGCCCTGACCCCCGTCCCACTCCACCCACTTATGGAGCACATCAGGTGAGGAAGAATCTATGCATCCCTAGATCATTTCATCAGCCCTCATGGCTGCCATGGACTGGGCGTTTTCAGCTGGAGGCCCGAAGGCATCTCCCACCAAGCTGGATCTGAAGCCCTCAAGAGATGGGGGAGCTATCCCTGCCCCATGAGCTGCTCCCCCAAGCCAGCCACTCTTGCTAGATTCTAACCAGAACACATCTGGATCCAGCATCACACCATGGGTGCTCAGTCTTTCGCTGTAAGGAGAAAAGCCTGTTCATACTCCATCTTTTTTTCTCTCTCATGCGGTTTATAGAGGACGGAGGTATCCACACATGCCCTGTTTCTCCTTTCCACTCAATACAAGGATCCCACAAAGAGGTTGTTTGCGCTCAAAGAAAAGCCTAGCCCCCTGCCCCAGCTCCACCAACATACCTCCACCTGCCTAGAAGCCACTAGCAACCCCACAACACATGGATCTCTTGGCTGCGGAGAATCACGAAAGCCTCACTTAGGTCTGTGCCCTCCCACCTTTTAAGGTGGAGGCCTGCCAAAATCATGGTGCACACAGGCCAACGAGCCCTGCCTGGGCAAAAAGAAGGTAGTGCCAGCAACCGGAGCAGGGAGGCTGCCTAACCTTGTGGACTGCCCTTACCTCATGGATGCAACGGAAGAGCTCCCAGTGAAAGGCTGTCAGGTGGTTGGCAATGTCTTCAGCCTCCACACGGTGGATCTCCGTGTCTCCCGGCGACACCTGGATCTCCTCCGGTAGTGGGACCTATGGGAAGGAACTGCCATGAGGCCATGACGTGCAGGCAGTCACCCTGCCTGCCCAGCATCCCCCCACCCTGGCTACACAAAGACAAGTCAGCAGTGGAGTCAGGCACCTAAAGGCTGTTGAATCTGTAGCCCACTGTGCTCAGGGTGTGGCTGAAGACAAGGGCTTTTCTCTCCCCTTCACAGTGAACTAGAACCAGGATGAAACAGGAGGTGCAAAGAAGGCAGAGCTGCTCAACAGCTACTTGGCCTCAGTCTTTGCAAAAAACTTTAGCTGTCTGGTTGCAACTTATAAGGATTATTTAGATAAGGAGTGGAGGTGAGAGGATTGCAGGGGGCGGGGAGGGGGACCACATGCCAAGGGCTGAGAGACTGAGAGGCTGTCAGAAAGCTTTGGATGGGTCTGTATGAATTCAAGTCAGAAGAGTCTGATGATGAACTTCACCCCAGAGTACTAAAGGAACTGGCTGAGAAGATTTTTAAGACCTTGGAAATATTTATGAAGTTGTGGGAGAATGATGGGGTAATAAAGAACTGGAAAAGGCCATTATAATATCCCTTTTTAAAAAAAGGCAAAAAGGAGGACCTAGGAAATTATGATCAGGTCAGCCTCACCTCAATACCTGGGAAGTTACTGGAGCATATCATAAGGAAATCCATCTCCAAATATCAGGAGAAGGAAAAGCTGATCAGAAGAAGCCAGCATGAATTTACTAAGGACAAATGATGCCAAACAAACCTGATCTCAATCTTCATCAAAATAACTAGTTGGGTGGATGAAGGGAATGCAGTGGATATATTGCATCTGGACTTCAGTAAAGCCTTAGACAAAGTCCTACATGACCTCTTCTCATAAACAAATTGAAGAAACATAGACTAGATAAAACTATTATAAGGTGGACAGACAACTGGCTTAATATCTGCAAGCAAAGGGTAATTATAAATGGATCCACGTCACAGGTTTCCCATGGAGTCTCACAGGGGTCTGTCCTGGGCCCAGTGCTGTCCAATGTGTTTATTAAGGATTTGGATGGTGGCACAGAAAGCTTCTTGTGCAAGTTTGCAGACAACACAAAACTGGGAAGAATTTTGAACACACTGGAGGAAAGGAGCACAATTCAGAAGGGTCTTGATAGATTGGAAAACTGGGCTACAGCCAAGAGGATGAAATTCAATGCTGAAAAATTCAAGGTGCAACACCTCAGGATGAATAATCAGAAACACAAATACAAGGGTGGCATCTGGCTGGATGGCAGCACTACAGAGAAGTCTTGGTGGGTCGCAGACTCAATATGAGTCTCAGTGTGATACAGCTGCACAAAAGATGAATATGGTTCTGGCCTATATCAATAGCAGAATCAAGTGCAAGACATGGGAGGTGATAGTACCTCTTTACTAGGTACTGTTTAGGCCTCATCTAGAGTACTGTGTGCAGTTTTGGGCTTCATATTTTTTAAATGATGTGGAGAAGCTAGGGAGAGTCCAAGGGCAGGTGATAAGAATGATAAGGGGCTTGGAAGGCCAGCCACATGAGGAGAGGTTGAAAAAAATAGTATGTTCAGTTTGAGGAAAAGGTGATTAAGAGGGGACATGAAAGCAGTCTTCAAATAACTGAAGAGCTGCCATAAAGAAGAGGGAGAGCACATTTTCCATTGCTGTAGAGAGCAAAGGACCAATGGCTTCAGGCTGCAGCAAAGTAGGTTTAGACTGGCTATCAGGAAAAACCATCATCATGGTTAGACAGCGAGGCAGTGGAACAGATTGCCTAGGGAAGTTGTAGAATCTGTCACTGGAGGTGTTCAAGAAGAGCCTGGATAAGCACTGGTCAGGAATGATCTAGGCATATCTATGCCTGGAGGGCTCTTACAGGTGGACTGCTGGGAGATAATGAGAAGAGTTCTGCCACCTAAAGCAAATGGATATTGCTCAAAACCAGCAGAACAAAGCAGATTTTCACACCTGGCTTATGAAAGATTAAAGGAGCTGGGGATAAGTTAGTGGAGGGGATACAGAAAGGGAAGTTCTGACTGTCCAGTCAGAGGGTGTGATAGGGGAAGTTGTGCTTGCTGTCCCCAAATTACAAAGCAGAATGGCATGTTTGTTTTTCTTCCCCCAAGGTTCTGGGTGTTGCTGGTTGCCACCTGGGGCCAGGAAGGAATTTTTTCCCTTTCTGTGTGATATTGGTATCTCAGGTTTTTTCTCCCTTCCCCAGAAGGTTCCAACCAAGGCTGGGGACTTAGATTGGGGTGTACCAATACTCCTGCTGGGACTGAAATCCAGAAGTTCCCAACTAGAAGGTCTTGCCCCTCTGTTTGGGGTCAGACCAATTACTATATTTGTGATCAGGAAAGAATTTCACCCCATGATCAGGTGGCTATTGACGGTGGGGGTTTCGCCTTCCTCTGTAGTGAGGGCATGGTCTTCTTCCTTGGACTCTCAAATATATTTTAACAACTCATGCAGCTGCAGGACACTGACTAGATTCATCCCCCTGCTTTACCTGTGGCAGGTTAGGGTGCTTTTGGTTCTTTGGGCAATATGCCCTGTCGTTGTGTGACAGAGTTTGTGTAGTTTTAGGACTGAGGTAGACAAGGACTTGCTTGGGATGGTTTAGATAGGGATGATCCTGCCTTGAGCAGGGGGTTGAATTAGATGTCCTCTGAAGGTCCCTTCCAGCCCTACAATTCTGTGATTTTAACACCCAGCCCCCAGAGCTGGCAGGAACCCCTGTGTGAGTGGGAGGAAGACAGGATAGATAGGGGTAAGCAGGCAATGGTGCTCTTCTGCCTGCCCATCAGGGAGGACAACCCTGGCCTGTCCTAGACAAGTGTCTGCTGGAAAAGGAGCACTGGGAAGGAAAACAAGGAGGATTTGGGCAGCCAGTGCCCCCAGCCCCATGAGGACAGAGTCTTCAGGGTGGTGCCCAGCTGAGGCTGTCCCATGTGGCCAGGTCCCAGATAGGGGAAGTGGCTGCCCGTCTAGTGGCTGGGGGGAGGAGTAGATATGCTGGAAGGGAGGGCTAGGATTCAGAGAGACCTCAACAAATCAAATGATTGAGCCAAAAGAAATCTCATGAGGGTCAACAAGGACAAGTGCAAAGTCCTGCACTTAGGACAGAACAGTCCCCTGCACCGATACAGACTTGGGACTAACTGGCTAAGCAACAGCTCTGCAGAAAAGACCTGGGGCTTACAGTGGACAATAAACTGGATATGAGTCAGCAGTGTGCCCTTGTTGCCAAGACGGCTAACAGCATAGTGGGCTGCACTGGTAGGTGTGTTCCTGGCAGATTGAGGAAAGTAATTATTCCCCTATATTCAGATGTGGTCTCATCAGTGCAGGAGTACTGTGTCCAGTTTTGGGCCTCCCACTATAGAAAAGATGTGGACAAGTTGGAGTGAGTCTAACAGTGGGCAACAAAAATGGTTCAGGGGCTGAGGCACATGACTTTTGAGAAGAGGCTGAGGGAACTGGGGTTTAGTCTGCAGAAGAGAAGACTTCTGGGGGATTTGATAACAGCTTTTAACTACCCAAAGGGTGGTTCCAAAGAGGATGGAGACAGACTATTCTCAGTGGTGACAGAACAAGGAACAGTGGTCTCAAGTTGCAGCAAAGAAGGTTTAGGTTGGACACTAGGCAAAACTCTCTAGGAGTGTGGTGAAGCACTGGAATAGGTTACCTAGAGGGGTGGTAGAATCTTCATCCTTGGCAGTTTTTAAGGCCCAGGTCAATAAATCCCTGGCTAGAATGATCTAGTTGGGACTGGTCCTGCTTTGGACTAGATGCCATCCTGAGGTCCCTTCCAACCCTCATTTTCTATGATTCTATGATGTTGATCAGGCTGGCCCCCCAAGGAGCACCCTGAGCAAGGGGATGAAGCAGGGTTCTCACCAGAGACTCAAAGGTTTCTTTAGTGCAGGCAAAGAGGTGACTGTTGATGCCCAGGGTGGTGAAGACACACTCCTCACTAGGCTGCAGCATGGCTTTCTCTGGGGTAAGAAGGCAAAAGAGGGGTTACATTCACTCTGGCAGCAAGGCACTGGCTCCAGTTCAGCCTCCCAGCTTGCTGCCCCCCACCTCCACCAGCTGTATGGGGAGGGGAAGCTCTATAACCAGGGGCCCAGGCACTCCCTGGCCTAGCTGCCCACGGGCAGGCCAGCCAATTTATGCAACTCTCCCCTCCCCCCTGGGATACACCCAGCTCCCTGCACCCTGCCAGCCCCAGAAGGGCATCAGCCACCCTTGGCCTCAGTTCAGGTTTGCAGAGTAACTAGGAAGACCCTGGGCAGGATGTTCCTCTGGCTGGGTCTGCACTGAGGGGGACAGGCAAGAGCCATGATGCCTAGGAGCCTTCAGGTAGGTGCCCACAGGGACTACCCCACCTGCCCACAATGCTCAAACAGAAGCTGGTTCCCCAGCACCAGCCCCAGGCAGCCCCTGCACATGTTCCCATCCAGTGCCTACCCCAGGGCACGCAAGTTGGTTGGCAAGAGGTAGTAACTGTCTGGAGCCCAGAGAACAATGCAGAGCACCCAGGCTCTTGCAAGTTCCCTTGGTCCTGGGACTCCAGACCACGAGTCCACAGCTACAACAGTTAGGCTGGTTTGGGCATTCAGGCAGAGTTGCTGTGCTAGCACCTCCTTGAAATGCCTGAATGTCACCCTCCCCAACCCCAGCAGGATCTGTGAGCTGCCCTGGACACCTCAGGTGTAAACCAGCCCCTGAGGATACCCAAGGCCAATGCACATGTGGTCCCCGTACTCCCTGCCTCCAACACCTCACTCACCTCCAGAGGATGCCACAGCTACCAGGATCAGGGCTTCCTCACGGGTACTCTGCTCCTCTGAGTACTGGAGCTTTTCCGTCACCGAGGACAGGATGTCCTGAACTGAGGCAGACAGGCGGCTCCGGATGGTGACGTAGGAGTGGTCAGGCATGTACACCCGGCAGAAGACTGCAAGGAGAAGAGGGGGCCTGAGCAGGGCTGGGGACAGTAGAATCCCAGCCCCAAGCCCAATGGCCCAGCAAGGCCTTTGTCCGAGGTGTGTGTGTACAAGGCAGGAAGTTTGCAAGGTCCCACCCTGGGCATGGGAACAGAGGGAATGGGCTAAATGGAGAAAGGCCTTGAACTGTGTAGGAGTTGTTTGGGGGGGGACCATTGCATTAGCTGCATGTGGGGCTGGGAGACAGAGGAACACAGGGTGCCCCATGCCAGGGTGGGGCTGAGACCTGTCTCATTCATCCATCACCACCACCCCAAGGGTGGCAAAGTGAGCCAGCCCCCAAGTCACCCCTGTCCCAGACTCAGTGCTGCTGTCCCCTCTGAGTCCAAGGGGAAACTGAAGCACAGAGCAGGAAGGAACTAGCAGCCGGGGGGTGGGGAGGAGGGCATCCCTGCACCCCAGAATGAAGGCAGGCCTGTGTCACGCTCCCGTCTGCTCAGCTGGCAGCTTGCCCAGCACCCTGGGCCTGCGCCCAGCTGTGCATGGAAATCAGCACAATGGCAACATGCACGGGTGGCAGAGACATCCCTTCATGGACACCAGCCACCCTCCATCAGGGAACACAAGTTGTGTGCTTGCGCCTGTTGCCAAGAAGGGGACAAAGCCCAGAAATCCTGCCTTGTTTCCCTCTGCATCTTAGGGGGCAGGGGGACCCAAACTCGAGTTCCACTCTGTGCTACTCCATACCACCCATTGGTAAAATGCTGCCCCCGTCCCTTCCTCATCCCATGCTCACTCTCATCAGAGCCCCGAAAGGCCACCCGGGTCTGGAGGCAGGAGTCGATGCGACGAAAGTGCCTGAATAGCGGCTTCACCTGCTTGTTTGGGGGCTGTGTCTCCTCCGTCACCCTGCAACCAAGGGGACAGGGGATTAAGGAAACAGGTGGAGCTGGGAGGAGCACAGAGCTCTGCTGGGGAAGGGCCTGGAGGGCACCTTCGGCCTGGGTGTGGGTGATATCCTTGTAGGGGGTGCCTGCAGAGGTGGGAGATGAAGCCCTCATGGCAGGGGGGGAGGGGGGTCTCATGAAGCCCCCTAGCCTGTCATTTTAGTTGCAATCTAGGGCAGCCCAACAGTAAACCCTTGGTCTGTCAGAGCCCACTCGGAGCCTTTGGCAGGGATGGCTCTGCAGCACCTGAGGCAGGAGGGTGACCCTGTCCTGGCAGCCAGCAGATCCCCTCCTGCATGACCCAAGGCCAGATGCAGCCTCCTGCAGGTGATACGTGGCACCCAGCACAACCAGCTAGATCCCTAGCTGGGTATGGTCTTTGAATAATGCTGGCTCAGGTTCCGTTAACCCCAGAGAGGCCACACGTCACTCACTTGAGCTCCACCGTCTCCACCAGCTGGTGCAATTTCAGGATCTCATCTTCCAGCTCATGGTAGAGGGAGGCGTCTTTCATGATCAGTAGGTAAAGATCCTGGTGGGGGGAGGACAAATGCATGGTGGCTCAGGGCTGCCTGGCCAGCCAGCCCCCATTGCTTCCAGCCCCACCTCTGCCCTGGCCTGTGACTACCCCAAGTCAGGGTGGGGGAACGACACCACCATCCAGACCTGCACTGGGGTAATGAACACCCCTGCTCAGTGCTGTGATTACGGGGGATGTTGTCCAAGCACATCAGAAGCCCCATATTCATGCTACGGGATAAAGGGGATTGGCAGAAGTGCCCAATGCTCATGTCACAACAGGGGAAAATTTCCCAGAGATGGTGGTCTGGGGGAGAGAAGGAGGGGAGTCCCCACAGGCCAGGGCCCTGGGCACAGCAGTGAGGGGCTGGAAAAGGAAATCCATTTGGAAGAATCAGGCCACACTGTCAGCTGGGGGGGAAGTCAGTGGGAGCCTGCAAGAAGCAATGGAGCAGCGTCTCAAGTGAAGCCGACTAGCCTGGCTGAGCCTCTACACTCCCACCCCCATGTGCACATCCCCATGCACAGACACACACACACACACACACACACACACACACACACACACACACACAAATATAGATAACCCCAGGCATGGACGCACCTGTGTACACACCCCCATGCACAGACACACACACAAACACCCCATGTATACACCCCCATGTCTGCAGTCACAGAGCCATGCATATATGCCTATGCACATGTGCATGAACACCCACATGTACACACACCTATGTGAGCACATGCACACGTACACATGCACCTCTGCACTGAGCAAAAAGCAGGGATGAAGCATATGGTCTCCCCTCCCCATCCCCAGCTTAACTCCAGTGCAAGTCAGACACAGGCCCAGGCTGATCAGGGCTGCAGGCCCCACCTCCATCCCAAAGGTGAGTCTGGGAGAGCAATGCAAGCACCCTCCCCTGTCCCCTACACACCTTGATGACCTTGCCAGCGCTCTCATCCTCCTGCAGAATGCCCTTGAACGTCTCCAGGAAATGCAGGAGGACGGTCAGGACAGCCTGTTTCCTCGGGAGCACCTCACCCTCTTCCCAGCAGGGTGCAGGGCTCCCTGATGCCATCAGGAAGGTGAGCACCAGGTTAAGGGAAAGCAGATGCAGGAATGAGGGTTGCAGGAGGTCATGGGGATCTGACAACATCCCACAGGCAAATGGGAAATGGGCATCCAGGTCTTCCCAGCCGGTGCAGAGAGGGTAGCTCCATGATGATGGGATGACCCCAGGGCTCAATGCCCAGCTCGGCCATAGGACAAATTGTCCCGATTCCCATTCCCTGCTGCTTTCTTGGCCTACCTAACTGGGGGTTTTCATGGGACAGGATGCACTCCCTACAGTGCTACGGGAGCCTGCCAATGAGGCTGCCCCACACTGAAGCACCACTGGCCTCTGGGAGGAAACAACATTACCTTCAACTAAGATCCTCCTCCATTCTACTCCCTCCTTACCACCTCTGCTGGGGGTAGTTAGTGTCAGGAGAGGGTGTGAGGCTATAAGCGAGAGGCACTGTGGGCCACGAGGCACTAGTATCTGCTCAAGGAGCAGGGGACATTTCTCAAGTCAGGAAACATTTGGTTGCTGTTGGCTGCAGGTAGCAAAGTCCACCCTGGGTTATCAGAGTTGCGCCCCTGCCCTGTGCCAGGCCCTGGGATGGGGTGTGTTCCTCTGTGGCATGCCTGTGCTCCCTAGTATGGCTCAGTCCTGATCATGTTGGGATGTACTGTGCAGCCTGGGCCCAGCTGGACTGGCCCACTCCAAGCCCAGAGGGGGCCCTGCCTTCCTATTGCATTGTATTCAACTTTTCTTCCTGCTAGGAGCAAGCTGCTGCTGACAGCCCAGGGCCTGGACAGAGCCCCCTGGTAACAACCTAGTGTGCACAGAGCAGCGCTCCTAGCTTGCCCTCGGCTAAAGCCCACAGGCTCACTCTGGATCTATCAGCATGCAGAGCATAGTGCCCAGCTTGAGACCCTACAATAACAAACCAGCATTTATCTGCACATCCATGAGGCAAATAAGATGGGCATTACAGTATTCCAGGTGTTAGGGTTACCTACAGCACCAGGAAAAGGGCGGGGAAACACATGGCCATGCAAAGGTGCATGAGGGACAGGATCCAGGTCTCTAGTATGCAAGGCAACATGGCATCTTTGGGGTAAAAGCAGAGATCCAAAATGGGGTGGGGAGTCCTATTTCTAGTGGACTGATTACAAGGCTGATCAGAAACACCTTTGCCCCCACCCTGTCACCCAACCCTTGCCAGGCCCCCGGCATCATCCCCAAAGGATATTAGTGGTGCAGCTGCTGCAGGAATCGGTCGGTGGGCTGGAAGAGCGAGTGAGTGAGGATGATGTCATCCAGCAGCACCTCTAGGAGAGAGACGGGGGGTGGGGGGTGTCGGGTCAGGCTGGTGGCACAGGGGGTGATGAGGGGGGCAGGCACTCACTGCCTGGAGCGGCCTGGCTGCCCCGACCTGTTCGGTGCACAGAGTGACTCGCACGAGGGCACATGCCGCTGAGCACCCAAACATAGCAATTATCGCATGAGTCAGGGAGAATGAACGGCGCCGCCCCCGTCCCCGCCAACTGCTATGGACTGGGGACATGTGCGCACATGCGTGTGCACACAAGGTGTGTGCAGAGGCTCTGCCTGCCACATTCCTGTGCCCGACTTATTGACTTGCAGACCTCAAGCAGTACCATGGGGCAGAGGTGTTCATCTGGGCGCACCCTGGCCCTGGGGCTTAGCTCTTGCTGACCAGCATTGGTGGGGCTGGGGGAAGCATCCCCTCCACCCCCTACTTTGCTAAAGCCCATCTCCAAGCACTCCCTAATGTGATCCCCACCCCACCCCAGGGAAGGTGAAGCAGGGTACAGCAGGGAAGGTCTTGCAGCCACAGAAGGAATCCAGGAGTCCTGGCTTGGTGGCAGCAGCTCCCATCTGCAGCAGGAGGACCTGGAGGGCAGTGGCTACACCCCCAATACACCTATGCCTCCACTCCCCACCTACAGGCCTCCAACCCATCCCAGAGGGGTCACTCTGGCAGGTACCCAGCCTTCAGATAATAGCTGCAGACAGCAGGAAGCATCAGTGACACCTCCCAAGCACGTCCCAGCCTGAGGAATGCCGGGACTCAGGTCCCCTGCCTGGTGTTTACAGGGCATGCAGAGCGGACTCTGCTCCCTGACACAGTGGGGCCTGACCCTGACCCTGCATCCCTGCCTTCCCCCTCGCTCCCTCCTGCTCATGCCCCCAGACTTTACCCTGCTGCCTGGGTGTGGCTCCAGGTCCCTCCTCCGACCTGGACTCTGCCTCAGGGCTCCTAATGAGCCTGGACTCCCCATGCTGTGCTGGAACACCACCAGGGGTGTGGGGTTGGGGTTATAAGGTGCCCTTTCCTGCCTTTCACTGGGGAGGTAACTGACCTGGCATTTCCTGGGGGCTCCCATGCCACTAGAAGCCCCACCAGCCCACCCTTCCCCAGCAGGGTGC